CGAGAGTCTCTCCTCTCTCTCTTCCCTCGTGCACTGCTGCGAGGGCAACAACCGCCATGGCTGGAGGGCGACAGGTGATAATGGCAATGGCAAAGGTACTGCAAGCCGCCACTACTCACGTGAGCTGCTACAAGCTCCGTGCCAGTGCTGCGAGGCGGCGCTTTTTCGTGCTGCCAGAGGGCTGCAAGGCAACCACAATGCCATCCGAGTTGCAATGGGGGACCATAATGTTGCCCATGTTGCGATGAGAGACCGCAACATCATCCGTGTTGCAATGGCCGACCGCAATGTCGTCCATGTTGCAATGATAATGATGTGATATGATCCAGTTGCTCCAAACACGAGACCGAACAGTTGTCTACCTGCATGATCTTTGCAAAATATCAGCCGGCCAACGTATAGCGCGGTCCTCATGTTAAAGTGATGTTACTGTCGGTGAAAAAGACACTTCCTTTTTTCATTTCATAACAGATGGACAAACATACAATGTTTGGTACAGCTTAAAAGACATAGATCAACCGAACCCACGAACTTGTCTAGTTAAACTTTTAATTGATTCTGACCCATGGGATTGCCCCATTTTTAACTACAAATGTATCTTAGATAATTTATGACCACAGTTTTTTTAGGGTTATATAACTGTATTACTTTTCCTTGTTATTCAGGCGATGAACTGATGAATTTATCAGAAGGTTCTCCATGTGGACTCGTGCATTTCCAGCTGCGGCGGCTGCTCGCACTCCATGTCCACCTTCGCCATGGCGTTCCCGAACAAGGCGTCACCGCCGACGTCTCTCGGCAGCTGGCTGCACCCGGCGAACGGCGCCAGTGCCTTCTGCATGGCGGGGTTCGCAGAGAAAACGGTGCCGAGCAACCCCGGCGCCGCCGCAGCCGCCCATGGGAGCATGGCGGCCGCGCCCTGGTTTGCCGCCGCCAGCCAGTTCATGTACGCGCCCATGTCGATCCGGTGGCCGAAGTTGTCGCCGGAAGCGTTCGCACCGGCCGGGGCGAAACCGCCGAGCATGGAGGAGACGTCGATCTCCCCGAGCTCGCCGAGGGAGGCGTGGGCTTCGTTGCATGGGGAGTCCATCTCGGGGCTGTCGTGTGGGTGCCTCATCTTCACTATCTGGCTCTTCTTGAACACCCTGCACACCACCCATTCCTCCTTCGAAAACCAAAGACAAAGGAACATTTCACACAACCATATCAGTAACAATCTAGTTCAAACTTAGAATATTTGTTGCAACATTTTCTATAACAAGTTGCAGTTACTTGGCCTAATTAAGAGATGTTTCTATGTATACCTTGTTGGGTTTGTATGGGAACTTGTTCTGGATCCTGTACTCGTGCATGACCCAGCTGGTCTTCTCGCCCTTAGGAGCCCTACCTCCATAGAAGACTAGGGTTTTCTTCATGCCGACGAGCCTGCCGCCGTGGAAGATCTCCTTGTCCTTGCCGGTGGTCTTCCAGTAGCCGGATTCGGTGGCGCGGTTCGTGCGGATGCCGGTCGGGTATTTCCGGTCGCGCATGCTGAAGAAGTACCACTCTTTCTCCCCCATGCTAGCTTTGCCTGCAGACGTACATCCATCAATAATTTTTAGTGCACGTACATCCATCAATTGCCAACCAATGTACGTAGGTCGTATGGGCCGGTGTATGCCAACTTGACATTGACAACGACGACGACTAAGTTTTAGTACGCCTAAGTAACTACCATGTAAATCTAGAGTAGTGCGTACATAATAGTGACGGCTTGAATATGTGCATGTTATCAACTAGGTCAAGGCATTAGAAGTCTCACCAAATCGAGAAAAAAGAGGGAGGCCACAAGTAAACAAGATGGTTGAAAAGCAATTGGCACTAGTTCCGGTTTAATTTGCACACAAGAGTGAATGGCCAAAAAACAAAATCCAGGAACGAGCACAAAAATATATACGTGGTTAATTGGCGGATTGCACAAATTCAAATCAAGTTTCTTTCCCTTAGGCTTTGTTCGGTTAATCCCAACCCCAGGTGGATTGAAGGAGATTTGCAGGGATTTTGGCTTGCAGGGGATTAATTCCCCCTCAATCCCCTTCAAATCCATCTCAACCGAACAAGCCCTTATGATACGAGTGAATGTGCAACGGGAAGGATTAGCTGGAACTGGAACTAAGCACTTACTTGGAAGGTCCCATGGCTCGCACTTGTTGAGATCGGCGTCGGCGATGGCGCGGGTGGCGAAGGAGAAGTCGGAGACCTTGCGGCTGAGGTAGTAAGTGATGAGCTCCTCGTCCGTCGGGTGGAACCGGAACCCCGGGGGAAGGCCCTCCTCCATCATGACCTTGGATTCCGGCGACACCCGCTGGCTCTCCGCCGGCCGACTGCACAGTACACAGTCCAGCAGCAGGAGCAGCTCAGCTCAGCTCAGCAGGCAGCACAACGATCCATGGCAGAAGGAGAGACCGCGTGCTTATATACATCATCAACGAGGGCGCACATGTGTACGTGAAGACAAGAAAATGGAGTAATTAAAGTCACTCTTGTTGCGCATACTTCTAGAGCCCTGTTCGAGGTCTCAACAACCACGGCTAGGAAAGGTACGGGGAGGATTATTGGCGACGGCGACAGGCGCGTATCCGGCGAAAAGGTCGGAGGAGGGAAGATCCACCCGTCGATTGCACGCGTGGGGGCTGCATGCATGGGTCTCTGTACGTGGGTGTCTCGTGTTTTCCGGCCAACTCCAACCACTCCCCACCCACCGGAGCTAGCCACTTCTCCGGCGAAACGGCGACACGGCCAGCCCTGTAGCCAGCTAGGCACGGCGACGTGACAGGAATAACTAGAGTTTCTTAGTGGCAACGAATTACGACACTGTACTTTGAGTTGCTGAGACGATTGGCACGCAATCAGAAAGACGATTGTCGTCGGCGCTACACGTATGTGTGATCGGCTTGCACCCTCGCACGTGTGAAAGTGACTGGCGGTGAATCAAGATGCGTTATATATATCGTACGTCTAGATTGGTGGTTGCGGTGCAAGAGGGTGGTCGTGGGGAATATATTCTTCATCGATCATGCAGGTTTGATTATGCCCTCCCGACCGGTTGGTTAATCTCCGGAGCCGATCCGATTAACAATGTCAAAAGATGCAACAAAGTGGAATCAAGGTAAGAGAATGGAGGAAATGTGACATGCTAAAATTTCCCATCGAGTAGGAGTATACTTTTGGGACCAATTGTCATTTTGCCCTCGCGGTCTAGGGACTAGGGAGTTATCTTTCATTTTGAAGAAAAACCTTTGTATAAAAGATCCCTAGGCAAAAGAGAAATATAAGTGAGTCATTTCCGAAAATTTTAAAATAAGTTATTCTGAAAATTTATAATTAAGTACCTGGAATTTCCAACGGTTATATAAGAACACACACCATTTCTAAGCTTTAAACTAGGAACTTTGCTTTGGTACACCCCCCTTAAATTTTTTTACAAATTTCAACACAGATTAAATGTGGAGATTAGAAGGTGCCCCTCCAGTCAAAAAGGATAACATGGTCTTTTGTATTAAAATCAATCTATTCAATACATTTGATCTGAAGGCTAATATGGCGATAGCCTTTTTAATTGGTTCTTTACGATAACAATTTGGGAATAAGCAAAGAAAAAGATATATGCATTTTTTGCATTTATTATTTTAACAGTGTGACTTCTCTTCCACTGCCTTGCAAAAGGTTTTGTGAAAAAAGTTGTAACCCTATGCTTTTGGCTTCGTGCTGAACTTTTCAGCATTTTGATGAAGAAATGGAAAATATTCAGGTGGGGCGCCTCCCCCTCCCCCTTGGCTTCCTTAAAAGAAATTATTTTTAACAGTCATTTACTACTACCTTCGTTCTGGTTTATTAGTCGCCCTCGTATTTAGAATCATATTTTGACCATGACTGTAACTAACAAAATACAAATTATATCTAATAAAACAGTATCATGAGAAACTATGTTCAAATACGAATCTAACAACATATTTTATTGTGACATGCATTAATATTTGATAGTTAAATTTATGATCAAATTTTAGCATAAAATACGAATATGACCAATAAACAAAGTAGTACTCGTCTAGAGCTTTGATATAGTTGTTGGATGTGTGGCTGTCTACTCGATGCACGGTCATGGCCGCCATGCAGCCTGAACCTTTGGCCGTGTTGTCCTTGTAGCTCGGTTAGTGGCGGAGTGCGATTAACTCGTGCTGCATGGTGGAGCCCAGTGCCGTGAGCAGGAGCTCTCCACGATGGGGAGTGATTGCTCTAGCGAGCATGACTGCGCGCCCAAGGAGCGAAAAATGGTGTTAGTGCATTTTTTTGGTGGAAATATGGTTGGTTTGGTCAGACTTCTCTACTATCTAAAAAAAACGCAAGGTTCGGTTTCCCATCTTACGTCGCTCGGCATCGTCGTCCCTCGTCGCTCGTCCCGCGCAGCCGCACATGGGCCAAGCCCCACAAAGCCCACATCTCTCACGTCACACAACAAACACACTATGTAGGGTTCCAACCCCACCCGCCCCTCTGGTCCTCGGCCGCCGATCGCCATCCTCGGCACCACCTCGCGTGCTCCTCCACCGATCGCTGCAGCCCGCCGCCCCGACGACCTCATCTGCGGCCCTCCCGGACGCGGACCAAGGACTCAACTGCGCAGCCGCAATGGACCCTCACATCGACCAGATCCGAGCACCTTCGGCGCCACCTTCACATGTCTCCGGCACCTCCACGAGAACTACTGGTTCTGCCTGCTGGGTCATGTCCCCGCCGTGGGTGTCGTTCTCCATGTTGTCCCGGT